TGGGGTGCTGCGAGGAATCACAGCAGGGGAGTGGGGATGGAGCCCAGGGACCCACCAATGGCACGGGGTGCCAGGGCTGGGGCTGGCTCACCTTGCCGATGGCGCTGGCCCAGGCTTGCAATGTCTCGGAGCCATCGGTTCCCAGCTGCTGCATTTTCTCTCCAGTGAGGAAGAGCTCAAGGATGAAGCGAAACCTGCAGAGGATGAAGCAGCCCATCAGGGCAGCCCTGTCCCCCAAACCTGCACTCAGAGCCAGACCAGACCATTGCACTGAGCAGGGAGCAATGCCTGTTCCTGCCCTCTGCATGCCCATGGGCTCTCTGGGCAAGCAGTGGGGGCAAGGCTGGGGGTACCTTTCGGTGGGACCGGGGCTGGTGGGTGCCTGAGCTCTGTTCACACCCAGGGAGATGAGGTCCCCACTCTCGATGTGGCCCAAGGGCTCCGTGCATTTCTCTGTCTCGAAGAAGAGCAGGGCTCTCTCCAGAGAGCACCATGTGCGCTGAAAGTCTGTGGGACCAGGGGGTCAGTAGCACCAGGGTGGGGGTCCCACTGGCTGTCCCCTTCACTCCCCATCCTTACCCTCTTTGCTCTTCTTGGTACTTGGGAGCTTGTGGGGGGCTGTGGCCCGGTACAAGTACCCACTGTGTGTCACCGGCTGTGTGATCTCGTTGTAGACACCCTCTGGACCCGGTTCCCGTGTGTGGGGGCTCCCTGTGGGGAATGGTGCTGAAAACGGGAAGGGAGCAGACACCCACCAAGGGTATCGGGTGGCAGGGAACCCCCACTCATGCAGGTGTAGGCAAGGGGATGCACCAGGCATGGGGTTCCCTGAAAGAGGCTTCAGAGGAAACCCCTGCCTTGCCCCATCCCAAAAGAGGGGTGCAGTGGGGCAGGCAGGTCCCCCAGAGAACTGCAGCACCTGATGGTCTGTCTGTCCCCAGCCTCAGAGGAGGGGAGGGCAGAGGCAAGGAAGAAGCCCCCCAATGCAGCCAGGTGGGGCTTGAGGGTCCTTGTTACCTGAATGGTTCCTGGTCCTTTTGCTCTCCGGTCCCCACCAAAGGTCAGCCCCAGGGACCACCTCGCAGATGGCAGGGTCAGCCGCCAGCCCAGCCTCCGAGGATGAGAAGAACTGCAGGATGGTCTTGAGCAGGGCTGGTCCTGCCACTGCAGCACACAGTGCCTGGGACGAGACAGAAGCCTTTAGGGACCACGTCCTGGTTCATGGAGAACCCCAGCCCACTGCCAGGGGTACTTGAAGGCCGGAAAAGTGGGACATCACCTCCCATCCGAGCCCCTGGGACTGCCTGGCACAGGGGTGCAGGTGCACACAGCCAAGCAGGAGGGGTTGGCATCTCAGACCCAGAGATGCCAACACCCAGATTTCCAGCACCCCAGCATCCTACCTGCACCCCAAGGTGGCCCATACCTGGAGCACGTCCTCCTGAGTGGCATAGTGGGGATGGGGCAGGCGGTACCGACCCTCTCGGTACTTGCGGGAGATGAAGTCCCGTCTCTGCTCGGTGCTGGCATCGGGGTAGAGAGCCTCGGCGGCAGGGAGGCGAGCAGCCCAAAACCGGTTGGCTCGGCCATTTCCCAGCATGATGAACAGCTGCAGGAGAGTCCCATGGTCATGGTGAGCATCAGGGCCAGGTGGGAGGAGCAAGATGCCTGGTGTCCCTGCATTCCTGGGCTGCTGCATCCCATGGGGCTGGAGAAGTCACCTGGCCCCTGAGCCTGCCATGCCAGCCCCAGCACCCTGCCCTCAGTGCCTCTACCTGTACAATTTCGTTGGACCAGACGCTGGTATCAAGCTTCAGACTTTGCACCTTTGAAACATTGGAGCCCAGGCTGCGGTGCTGCCCTGTGGGGAGAAGGAGAGTGAGCATCCCTTGATCCTGCCAGGGGAACCAGCACCCAAATTTCACCCAGACCCCAGCCAGCACCCCACCTGCCCAGACAGGTCCAGCCCACACCTGCTGGGACCCCCAGGGAGATGTACTGGCCTGCACACTGCTTGCAGATGACCACACACAGGTTGATGGATGCCCAGTCAGGACTCTGAGCCCAGCAATCCGCACAGTATTTGTTGGCTTTGTTGGACCAGATCTTCTCTGCCACCTCGTAGTCATAGAGCATCTCGGCTATGGCCTCCTGCAGGACCTCCATCCACTCCCGCTTCTCCCGCTCTGACTCCGCCACAAAGCTATGAGGACCATCAGAGCCAAATCTCAGGGGTCTGGAGCAACCAGCATCTGGGTCCAACACCCAGTTGCTCTCCCCACCTCAGACCACCCAGATGCCTGGGATACCTGAATATTTTGAAGGGGGTGATGAGCTCAAAGCTGCGGTTCTTGGCTTCGCGGATGGTGGAGCCGCGCATCTCAATAAAGCAGATGCCAATGCCCATTTTAAAGAACTGCAATGCAGAGTGACACTGGTGTTGGCTCTGCAGCACCATGGATGTGGTGGACACACCACCCCAGACATGCCCATGATGCTGGGGCTGAAGCCAGGGAGCTGCACCTGGTACCCCACTCCCATCACTGCTCTGCTTGGACCAGTCAGACCTGGTACCAGCAGCCACCAGATCCCTCAGCCATCCCATGTAGGATAACATAAAGCATTTAGCAGGTACATTATGTCTTAAAATGAAGGGCAGTTCTGCCCACAGCTCCCAAAACCCAGCCACTTAAATCCCTCTGTTTTGGGGATTTGAGTCCACCTTGAGTCAGGCACACTCATAAACCAAACATCAACTTGAGCAAAATCCACACAGGTTTGGTGCCGCTCAGTGCACACCAGGTAAACTGGAAATGAGATGACCGGAAAAAAACAGAGGTGCTGAGGAAATTCAGCAGGTGGGAGGTGGGCATGTCTGTGGGCAGCAGGCAGGATGTGGTGGGAGGTAGAGACCTGCTGCCTGCCATGGGTCAAGTCTATGCTGCAGCAGATGTGTTTGCTGGTGATTTTGTGGTCATTGACCCACCTGTCCTGTGACAGAGTGGGATGCTTTGGTGTGACTAAGACCTAAGTGCTGGGCAGAGATGAAGATAATTTGGTGGTAATGAGGAGATTGGGATGGGGGTTGGCTCCTGGTAGTCCCTGCATCTCTGAGCCCAGGCTCCCACTACAGTTGTCCTGTGCAGGATCTCCACCTTCCCACTCCACCATTCCTTTTCTCCTGCCTGTACTTTTTCTCCCTTTGGCACTGTCCCTGGCTAAGCTCCCTCCATCCCTCCATCGCTTTCACCCCCGTCCACTATTGGCACAACCCCCTGTGCCAGTGGGGTGTCTGGTTTGGCCACAAACCTGCTCGCTCTTGTACAGCCACATCTCGGGCAGGCTCAGGGCTGCAAACACCTTGGTCTTCTGGCCCTTCAGCTCCAGGGTGCCTGTCTTCTGGCAGTGAGCGGTGTTGGTGGGCCGGGGCTGGGACCCTGCCAGGCGCTGCTCCGTCACCTTCTTCTGCAGCGTGGAGCACCACTCATTCCTCTGGGCTGCAGAGCAGGCATGAGGGAGCAGGTCTGAGCCCTTCCCAACAGCCCTGACATGGAGCAGAGCACCCAGCAGGCATGGCAGGGGAGAGGTCCCCTTGCTCATCATGGTCGGGTGTTTTGGGGATGGGGTGAGAACTGTCTCCAGGATGCTCTGGTTGGAGAAGGGACACGGGGATGGTTCCTTGGGGATTGGTGGGCCCTGGCCTGGGTCTTCACTTACCCTCATTCTCGGCACGGAAGACAAAGATCCGGTGGCTGGTAAGAACCTGGAACTTGTTGTCCTTGGTAGAGCGAGCCATCTCAATCACAGACAGTGGTATCACCCCCTTGGGGTAGGGCTCCTGGAACGAGCCCCAGGCAGGGTTACCCCCCACTTTGCCCCTCCTGTGGGACACCTCCATAGCCCAGCCACCCCAGCACCTGCCTTGCTGGGCATGCTGATGCCATCGCCATAGAGGCAAAGGGATGTGGCAGGGACACCTGCGAGCTCCTGCAATAGTGGCTGCTCTGGGACCATGCATGGTACCTGTTTATGCATGGGCCCCCTGATGTAGGGCCAGCTTGGCTGGCTGTTCTGTGGGACTGGGGCAGCAGTGCCTGTCACCCCAGGTGACATGACAGCTACCAGCACCCCACAGCAGGCCTAACGGGGCCATGCAGAACCCTCACGGAAGGACAAGAGGATGTGGGATAGGGAGGGGTGGTTCAGTCATCCCACGCACCTAACCCACAGGGCCAGCACCCACCATGAGAAAAGCTGCTTCATGCAGCTCATCCTCCATGTCCCCAGGTGCTCTGCTGGGTGCTGCCTTGGGGACACCAGCTGCCTTGGGGACATCAGCAGCCAGACAGGAGGTGAGGATTCAGATAGGGATGGGTCTGTGGGTGGGATCCAGATATCCTCCATTTGCGGTCTGTCCCAGGGCTGTGAGACAGCAGGACCCCCCTTGCCTGCTCCCTCCCTGGACCCTTGCTACCCTGGGCTTCCTACACCGTGAAGTCGTGTTCAGAGTTCCCCAGGCACAGGGGACACAGCTGCTCCACTCTGGTGATGGTAAAGCAGTGCTGGCTCCTTACAGAAGGACAAGGGGAGGCAAAGGGGATATGGCAGCTCTCATGGTATCAAGGCATGGTGCAGCCTCCCCACCCTGCCCACATCCTGCCCCTTTGTACCTTCTCGCTGCCGAAGTACATCAGGTTCTTCCCGTCAAAACGGACATAGCGCCTCTGGAAGACATAGTTCCTGTTGGGATGTCAGAAAAATGAGGCTGTTGGGAAGAGGACAATCCCCCCAGGGATCCCAACATCTGCTCACAGACCCCCCCTTCCCCTGAGGATGGCTGCACAGAGACCCTTGCAGCACAGCTGAGGCAGCCAATAGGATTCTCCTCCTGTGGGGAGGTCTGGCTGTCCCTGCAGCATGGTGGTCAGTGTGCCCACCTCACCAGCCTTGCCCAAGAGGGCTTTTCCTATGGGGACTGTCCCATGGGTGGCCACGTACCCCTGTGGGGAGAGCTTGTCCAGCCAGCCACTGAGCATGGTGGGTCGGGGCTCAGAGAGCGACGTGAAGCTGGCGTAAGGGGATATGGTGAGGTCATCCAGGACCTCGTCCGGGTAGAGATGGGCTGGCAGGCTGAATGGGGCACCTTCAACTCGCGGTGCCTCCACAGTGGAGTACCCCTCTGTGTCATTCTGGACGATGCGGTCGATGAGCCGGGACCGGGTCTCCTCGTCCTCACTCCTTCCCTCACTGCTGCACTCGCTGCTTGTCCTGTGAGAAATGGGGCTGTGAGAGGGCCCGGTGATGGCAGTGTGGCTGCTCACCATGCAGGGTCCTGGTCAGTGCCATTTGGGGATGTCTCACACTGCTCCTGGCCCCATCCTGAGCTCCTTGAGGCACCCAGTGATGTAGATGTTTGTATCTCCATGAGCAGGGTGGGACAGGGGCTCAGCGCTCATGAGCCCTGTGGCCACCAGCACCCTGAGGCTCAGCCAATCCTATGTCATGGCAAGACTGGAGGAAGCTGGCAAAATGGATTTCCCCACCTTGGCTAATACTGCACAGGCCACCACATCTGCAAACCCCTGGCATCACCTCCTTCTCCTCTTCACACCACAGGCAGGAAACTGAAGCCAGGCATCTCCCCAGTCCCACGTCCTGTTTGCTGCTCTACATCCACTCCAGTTACCTCCTCACCAGGGGTCTCAGCCTGCCCTCAACCTCTACCCCTCCAGTGTTCACAGCACCAGGAAGATCCTTCTGCCATGACGCCCTCCTGCCTGCTCTTATATCCAGCCAAAAAGTTTTGCAAAGGGTTTGGGATGGATAGATGGGCTGGTGCAGCTCCTGCATGCTCCTCCTTTTCTTGGGAAGTCATGCTAAAACCCCCAGCAAGGCCTGGTGGGACTGACTCTCCAGCCACAACAATAAAAGGAAATTATAAAAATAAACTGCTAAGCCTGTCCCTTCCCCTCAGACCTCTCAGCTAGAAGTTTTTCTTTCCCAAAAAGGAAATGTGCTGGAAAATGCCTGATGGTCTCAGGAGCTCACAAGGGAGCTGCCCAGGTACAATGGTGATGGACAGAAAAAGAGTCACAGCAGCCAGGACACCTCAGCACCAGCACCCACGCTATTGGGTCACTTGTGGCATCCAGTGCCAGGACAAAGAAAAGGCTCCAAGAATGGCAATGAGAGCAGTTCAAGCCCTGTCACAGCTTCTGTCTGAGGAGCACCTGAGCAAGCTGGGCATCTCCAGGGGGGAAAGGGTGATATGGGTAGGTTTCTGAAGCGTGAGCAGCATGAGGAGGGCAGAAAGGCATCTCCTGGCCACCACTGCTTCAGTCACAGGAGCTGGGTGACATCAGATAAAGCCAGAAGGAACAAGGTGCAGAACCACATCGGAAAGGAGTGGCTGACCCATGGGAATCCTCACCATTTGGTGTTGTAAAAGGAGACATTAATGGAGGAGAAACTCACTGAGGGGTACTGACTATGAGAAACACCTCCAGCACAAGTCCATGTGCTAGAAATGCTGTTGGAAAAGGAGAGTGACCCCAAACAGCTCCTCTTGTCATAAATTCTCCAAACACCTGGTTTTGAGCACTGCCTCATCGTAGGAGCTAAGGCAGTGCATGGTCCTGGGCTTTGACCCTGTCCAGGCACCTTATGGGACCGTCAGACATCAGATGCCCCTGAACCATTGGGACAGAAGCAAGAACTGAAGTCTGCCTGGGAGGATGTTGGGCTGGAGCCACCCAGGCTAGGGGTCAGCTCCGGAGAAGTGGGATGGTGTGTGGGGCTGAGGAGGTGGGTGGAGAGGGAAAAAGGCCTGTTTGGCTCCGGTGTCTGCAAGAAGGACAAGAAATGGCGATGAGCAGCTTGGAGGCTCAGAGCACAATAAAAATCGCTATTTAATTAGCGTAACAGAGCCTTGGCAGGGTGATTCATCTGGCTGGAGTCCCAGCCTCATGTCCAGCTTCTTCAGGAAGGACTGGCTGGGGAGCAGGGTGGCTGGACGACTCTGTCCCTGGTAGGCAGACATCAGCCTAGAATGCCAGAAGCGAGTGGGAGACAGACCCACTGAATGGGTCAGGGTACCAGAAAAAGGGGAAAAAATTCCCTGGCAGTACCTTCCTGAGCCATGATTTACAGCCACCAAAACCAGAAAACGGTGGAGGACAAGCAGCATCTGTTAGGGACAAGCAAAGCCCACGGCCCTGCTGGAGTGGGATCTCAGTGTCCCAGGAGCCCACCAAGACTCAGGCCAACTCCCAGCTCTGCCCTTGAGGACAGGGCTGGTGGAGGAAGCCTCCTAGCAACAAGTCTGCAAAGGCCAAGTCATGTCCCATTTCAGCTTTTGTCAGACAGGGAAGACAACCAACCTCAGGACCAAACGAGTCCCCAAGGCAAGGAGAGCGTATTTGCAGGTCAGCTGAGCCTGGAGGGTGATGCCTGAGGTGCACCAAGTCGGGGCAGTCTCAGCCTGTCATGGGAGAGCTGGTGGAGGATGGAGGATGGGTGATGGAAGAAAGGGATCTGGTCATGATGAGGGGACCAAGGAGTTACTGGTGGATCTGGTTACTTCAACTGGGGGTCATGGGCCAGGCAATCAACCTGCAAGTGGGCACCCAGAGGTAGGCAGGGAGACAAGGAATCAGCTGCCAAGGACACACCATTCCCAGTGTTTTTTTCCTTCAGAGAAGACACCTTGAGTTGTGGGGAGAAGCAGTCCAAGTAGGTATCATCTCATCATGGGTCTCAGTGCAAACCAGGGCAGGGTCCACCATTCTCACCACAATGCCTGACAAGTCACTGTCTGACCCAGTCCCCTGAGCTCCATGAGGTGACACAGGCACTGCTGAGCCACCATCTCTCCTGCTGAGACTGGTGTCCACAGTAAGGCAGTTGCTGTCCTCTGCACCAGCATTTCAGGGGGCTGAGCATCACCAGCTTGGATGAAGGTGCTCGTCATCAGAGCAGAAGAATCCCACCCTACGCTCCAGGCTCTGCTGGACCCTCAGAGACCCAGCTCCCAGTTTTAAGAGGAATTTTGCATTCCTTTTCCTCTCTGCCGAGGATATCTTGTGTCTGGCCAAGATTGTTCTGCACATCTCCAACACTGACACTCACTGCCCAGACCCCAAGTCAGCAAGCAGCATGGTCCAGGCAGAACTTCCCCAGAATAGGGCAAGATACTGTGCCAAAGGGCAGGAGGGCCTTTATGAAGTTGGGAGTGGGAAATGTTTCCCATAATGAGTGGATTGGTGGGCTGCATGAGATGCTCACATTTTCCCCAGTGACCAGGTGCCAGTCAGCAGGAGGAGTAACACCAGTGTTGAGGAGGAGGATTGGGAGGTCCCACAGAGCCAGAGGCAGGGGCCAGTGCTGTCCTGGCAGTGGCTCAGCAGCTGAGCAGGAGCCCAGAGCTCTGCTCCAGGGGAATTGTGGTTGGACTGGTGGGGCTAGTGTGAGGAGCATTGGAGCAGCTGTTTGATGGAGTCCATGAACTCAATGCAAAAGGTCTTCAAAGGCTTTTCTGTCACTTGTTCAACTCCCCAAACCCCAACCACCTTAGTGCTCAGACTAGGAGAAAAACACCTGTGAATTGCTGACTCTAACACTCTGCTGATGGTCGCATCATGCCTCTTCTCAGCAAGACCAGGCTGCAAAGTCCCTGGTGTGTCCAGGGCTGCAAGTGCCTGGCCAATGTCCTTGGGATGCTCTGGATCCCAGCTCCCTGGAAGGTAGATGGAGACTGTGACCCATGAGCCAGCACCCATCCCCCTCTGAACTGCTGGTTCAGAGGCTCCATGGCAGATTTCAATATTTCTATTTACAAAACCCCCTTTCCCAGGTATTTGCAGTTCCTCACCCATGACCCATGTTGGCTCCCATCTGGCAGCGTTGTCTGGCTGACTGTGACACTGGATCAGGCCATGCTGCAGTGACTCACACCTAGAGCAGGAGATGGGCTGGACTGACCAACACTGGGACCAGAAAGGCAGGGGCATAGGGACACACTGGCTGGCAAGCCCATAGGCAGAGCTGAAGGACACAGAGCTGCAGCTCACCTCCTCCTCTCTAAGCAACACAGGAAAAGGAACACTCCCTGTCCGAAATGGGAAGAGCAGCTTTCCTTCCTCTTTCTGAGATGCTATCAGGAGTTATGGAAACTACATTTCAAAAGCATTTTAAAGGTGCCCCTCACAATCTCACTGTCCACCACAGTGAGACAGATCAGCCAATGCTGACCTGATGATGCTGGAGCCTTTGGAGGTCGCACATCCCTTCATCTAGATCTCAGAGCCATCCCACTTCTGAGCAATCCCTGTCCCCTGTGGTGTTTTCCTGATCCCAACAGCCAAGTCCAGGCTCTGTCCAGGGTGAAGGTGCCCGCTGCCACTGGTACTGCCCCAGCTGTACACCCAGAGCATCTGTCGGCCAGCACTGTCCTCCTGAGGGCCACCCACCAGCACGGCTCCTTCTCATCTCTGAGCCCATTGGCTCTTCTTGAGACTGCTGACCTGATCCCAGATGCTCCTGATCAGCTCTGTGGTGGGGGAAAAGCCCTCATCACCTCTCAGGCTGTTCCCAGGGGTGTCCCCTGTCCCCCTGACATGCAAACCCTGGATCCTGAGCCCAGCCCCTGCAGCCCAGAGGAGGTGAGTCCTACCTGCATGCTTCTCGCTCCAGGTCCAGCTCGGATGCTGCCTCGTAGCTCTGATCAGAGGAGATGCCAATACCCTGGGAGGAGAGATTGGTCACATCTCCTCTCCCGTCTGCCCTCTCCCATCCCAGACCTCCTCAACCCGCCTGTCCCACTGCATGGGGGCTCAGCCTGTGCCCCTCGCCCCAGCAGTGATGCTCGGTTCAGCCATGCACCACGGCCTCACCTGCTGCAGCTCCCTACTTTTGCAGCAGCTAGTGGGATGCAGAGTGACAGCAGGGGACAGCCACCACCCCCAGAGTCTCCTCTCACCTTCTGCTCCTGGGATGGGGCTGCGTGCCCAAAGATGGTCTCGCTGTAGGGGCTGACAGGCTGATCGCCGACCTCTGTGGGCAGAGACATGGGAAGGAAAGGCAGTCAGCAGTGCCTGCTGCAGGCAGTGACCACAGCTAGGACTGCCAACCCTGGAGGGGAACCCCCCACAGAGCACACCACAGCATGCCCCAACATCCAGAACACCTGGCACACTGGACATTCCAGCCCAAATATGTACGGGGCTGTGTCCTGCCTCGGCCTGGGGCCGTCCTAGTCCCGGAGCGAGGCAGGAGCATGGGACAGTACCTGGGGGAAAGGCAGGGTGTGCGGGTGTCCCCCATCCCTGGGGACACCAGGAGGTCCCTGTTGCACACCTGTGCCCTGTGTCTCACCTGGTTTGCCGGAGGGTCTCTGCGGGACTGGGGGCAAGCCCTCGTAGGGCCAGCTGGGAATGCTGGAAAACAGGAGAGGGGTTACTCGGCTGTGGCCGGGATGGGGTGGAAATCTTCCATCTTGTTTTCCCACCTGGCTTACATAGGCTGGATGCTGCGCCTGGCCGGGGCTTAACCTGGCTTTGTCCCCCGGGGTGTGCAGCATCCGCTCCCTGCCCTCAGCACCTTCCTTGCTCCCTTCTCCCCCCGACCCTGGCATATGCTGGGCATTTCCCATCTCAGTTCACCCCCCTCTAACATCTCCCACCTTGCTCCCAGTACAAACCAGCCCCACAGCCCTCACCCAGCTAACCCCTCACTACACTGAGGACCGCGAGCCCTGCTGCCTGGGGGGGCAGAGAAGGGGCAGCAGCTTCTCCCCCCAAACCAGAGCAAGCCACCCAGGGGCCCAGGGACACCCTGTCTGTTCAGAGGGATCCCAGCTGGGGACCCACGGAGAAGGCACGAGGAGGGGGTGAAAGGGGCTTTGCCAGCACCCCATGCAGGGTCAGGCTGGGGATGGGGTCCTGGGGGGGCTCTCTGGATCCTCCACTCTGGCTGCTCTGCACCCCGCCCCTGCTCCCTGGGGTGAAGGAAACCATTTGCTTACTCAGGTTTGTTGTCCAGCTGGGTCAGCTCCTGTGGTGACAGAGGCAGGGGCTGAGTGAGAGCCTGACCTTGGGGACCATCCTCTTCTCCTGTGTCCTCAGCTGGTGCTGGCGGGGGCTCAAGTCCTTCATAGATGACGTTGGAGACCATCTCCATCCTGCCCTGCCCTGAGCCTGGCTGCAAGGCTGTCCTGGGGCACGGTGAGGGGTCTCTGCTGGATGGGGTGGCTGTGGCGGGCAGTGGGGGGTTGGATGTGGGCTGACCCTCCAGCACGCTCCTAGGGCTGGGCTCAGCTGTTGGGACCCTGTGGCTGTGCCGTGGTGGGACAGATGGGATGGGTGGGGGAGATTTCTCCGATGCCTCCAGGGTTTGTCCATGGTCTGGAGCTGGCGGGGGCCGTGTCTCCTCCCGAGCGCTCACCCGTGCTCTCAGCCAGGATGCTCCCATGCCCATGGCCACGGACACCCCTGGGCCAGCAGGCGGC